CTAGACCCTACCCTAGAAGGGGGCAAAACAATGACAGGGGTCACAGGAGGGGCCGTAACAATAGCCACCCTGACCTCTTCAGAGGCAGGCGTAGGGGCCCTCGGTCAGACTCCGAGAGAGGCTCAGGTCCATCACCCGGTCACCAAACTAAGCCCTCATTTTGAAGGTACGCCAGAGAGCAGAGTACCAGTAGCGCCTATCTGTCTACCCTTTGGGGACCATCTTTCCCTCTTTTACCAGGAATGGTTAAAGATCACGTCGGACCATTGGGTCCTAGACCTGGTGAAGCAAGGATATACTATCGCCTTCCTTTCCTACCCTGCTTCCTACCCCCCATCCCCTTCCCTTTTCAGGGACCTCTCTCACGAGACACTCCTTCGGCAGGAGGTGTCCAACCTGTTGACGCTAGGGGCCATAGAAAGAGTGCCCCCAGACGTAAGAGGAAAGGGTTTCTACTCCTGCTCCTTCCTAGTACCCAAGGCGAAAGGGGGCATGCGTCCCATACTAGACTTCCGAAACCTGAACACCTTTATAAGGAAGACAAAGTTCAGGATGGTGACGCTAGCCTGCATCATCCCATCGCTCAGAAAGGGGGACTGGTATGCTGCTCTCGATTTAAAGGATGCGTACTTCCACATTTCAATTTTTTCCAAGTCACAGAAAATTCCTACGGTTCACGGTGGGACAGGACCACTTCCAGTTTACGGTCCTCCCTTTTGGACTGTGTACAGCCCCAAGAGTCTTTACCAAATGTATGACGGTGGTAGCCGCGTTTCTGCGGTGGCACAGGGTCCAAGTGTTTCCATATCTGGATGATTGGTTCATAAGGGGCAAGTCTCGAGAACAGGTGTTGGATCATGTCTCAAGGGCCAGGGTTTTGTTCGAGAGTCTCAGCCTCCTCATAAATGAGGCCAAATCATTGCTAGATCCCATGCAAGACATAGACTTTGTGGAGGCCCATCTGGACTCGCCTTTGGGCAAGGCATCCCTACCGAGTGACAGGTTCATGGCTATTCACTCGCTGGTAGTGGGGCTGCAGGAGTTCCTGACTACGACGGCGAGGATCTGTATGAAGCTCCTAGGCCACATGGTGGCGTGCACTTACGTGGTCCAACACGCCAGGCTGTGCATGCGCCCATTGCAGGGGTGGCTCAGGGTAGCGCACAACCCCTTGAGGTCGCTGCTAGATGCGGTAGTGACTATCCCTCAGGACATTCTTCGTTCGCTGGTCTGGTGGAAGGACGAGGGCACGGTGTGTGGGGGGTCCGATTCACCAAACCGTCCCCGTCAGTGC